AGGTCTTATTCTACTTTTTTTTATCCTTTTAACCATATACGAAAATATTAATTTAAAGCACTAAGTTGTTCCAAAACAACAAGCAAGCATTTTATAATCTTTTTGAAACGAGGCTGTAGAATTCCTTCTACAGCATCAGTAATACTTCACATCTGAAATGATTGTTTTTATTGTCAAATAGGAATTTAAGGATATTCTCTTCTAAAAGAGCGGATTATGTCAACCTTTTGCAATGAAGTCATTATCCGGAATTCTGCTAACCAGTAGATGCCGTTTAATGTGATAGCGATTAATTCGCATATTGTTATCGAATTGCCGAAGTCCCGGCCTTGTATACGAAAACATGGAAAATAAATCGCTTATGTAATCAATAATTCGGCTAACATAATCAAATTATTATAGAATAATTTTTATAAATTAAAATAAAATCGTCAGATAGATCAACTTGCAAAATAAGGCAACATATATCAAAATTTACGGCAGTGCGACTCCATAAAAATGCAAAAGACGTCCAGAAAACAATTTCGCGATCCCATTCAGAGTGTCAAATCTTAGTCATATACCAGCAATTCACATTTTTTAGAATTTTTATCCATCTTGCGACCCCACTATAAAGTTTCGTGATCTCATTTGGAGGCGTGACACATAGTTTCAATACTACTGAAATAGATCATGAAAATTGCCAAGAGAAAAAGAAATGTCACCAAGTACGGCGCTAAGTCGCCAAATATCTTGGTTTCGATTTCATTCAACCATTTAAAATAAAACAAAAAAGCAACCTTAGACATAGATTTTGAATAATTTCTATCGATTTTGAGGGCGATCGAGCATAAGTCTTTCTTCGTCAGGAGTTAAAAAAAATCTATAGAGTTTTTCCTTTTCTCTTACCCTGAAAAACTAAAATTTTTTTTTGCTTAATTTTAAATCTTATATCGGCTACCCTGTCTGTCATTTTTCATTCCTCTGTGATGACCAGTTGTGAGCCTGACTATGGTTTTAGGTATTAACCGATCTATGTTGATGTTATGGAGCTGCTGACTGGAATTGAATGTTTCTTCAATCTGTATTTGGCCATGGCATTTGCGTCCAAGAGGGGGATATTTACGTTATTATTTTTGTTGTGATATTGTTGAATGAAGGATGCCTTCCGAGAATGAAGGTTAGGGTTACAGCATCGGTCGTGTAATTTCCAAAAATGTTGGGAACTATTGCGATAAAGACGCTATACATAGTTCACAGCAAATGTTTGCGTTTTCCAAATTAAAATGCTGTGAAAACACGTTTTCATATGTTCCTGGTTATATTTATAAATTAATTGCTAATTTGAAGAACATTTTTTTCTTATTGTTTAATATTATCATTTGGTTAATTTTATGAATACAGTCAAAAGTCGTTAATTCGGACACCCATAATCCGGAATGATCTATAATCCGGACCTCAAAGCTAAAAACTTTCTGCACATGCGCCGCGTTGGCACATGCGCACAGGCGTTTTATGCGTGCGCGTAAGACCTTGACTACTGCGCATATGCGTGTGCGCAATTGCAGAATACGTTTTCGCCTGCGCGTTTAATGTATAACGGACGGTGTAAGCTAAAATTATCTAATTATCTATTTCAGTTAATGTTAATGATTGCGTTGTTCCTTAATCTTCGAATTGGATTTCGCTTATTATTTTTTGCAGACTGTAAGAGCAATTTTATAAAAGTAAACTTGAACTTTCGATTATGTCAAATAGAATTTCCGATGCTGGAGCTCCCAAAGGATCTACAAAACGAAAGTATGTTTCGATGTCCATCAAACAAAAAGTGGAATTGCTGCAAAAATGGATAAGACATGAAGAATGTGACAGAGAGGTTAGTGAAAACGAAAAAATTTCGATTGACAAGTTAGTCGGTATTCTCGGCACAGCAATTAACGGGACTTGAACAGCGGAACTTTGTAACTGAACAGAAATTATGTCTGTTTATAGAATTAAAGAGAAAGTATATCATATAAAACGAAGCAACTTAAACAACTTACATTGAAAGAAATGTTTAATGAAATAAACAAATAAATATTAAGCTTTTTTTTTTTTTTTTGTAAATTTTGATACCTTTAGATCATAATTGTTCTTTATTTTCATAAATTACGGTTTCATATTTTTAATTTTAGAATTTCTGCATGCCATCTTACAAGATTTAAACTGATGATCTATAATCCAGAAAAATCGATAATCCGGAATCGCCGAAGTCCCGACGAGTCCGGATTAACGACTTTTGACTGTATAGCCGTGGACAAGCATGATCACTTTAAGCCGCATCTACTGTAAAGCTGATTTTTAAATCATATTTCAGAAAGTAAACATGCATTTTACTGTGTATTGCAAGAACTGTAGGACAGAAAGGATCTCTTCAGAAATTTGTTGAATGATTTTTCGACAGGTCTCCATTAGTAACATGTCGCGAGTTTTCCTTTCAATGTTTTTTTTCATTTCCATTAGTCAACGAATGTCCAAGTCATAGTAGTCTTCAAACTGCTACGACTTGTCGCCATTTGAGAAATCTGAAAACTTCTCGTACACTTGTGATTTACTCAAAGCATCATCTTAAAAGTTTGAAGAATCATAACAGAAGTCTCAACTGCAATTTCTCAAGGAAAAGCAAAATTTCACCCAAATTCTTTGTTTTTTATAATCTTACAACACAAAAATGGCAGAATGACGAATCGAGAAATACCTATTTGTCAGAACTGAAGACAAATCTCACGTCTTAGCGTAATGTCATCTGGCAAATAAGCGCCAGAAATCCTGATTTAAGGCTTAGAAGTGCGATAAGTAATTAAGAAACACTCACTTACAGTGTTGCCGTTCCAGTTGTTTTTGGGTATCCTTAAGTATAGTCCTTCATAATTTCTTTCAGTTTGATATACTTTTATTTCAGGTGTGGTAAGGGTAGTTCCTTTTGTTTAATATCATCTTTCATGCTGTTTGTGCTCCTTACCGCAATCCCACCTTTTTTTTTATTAATTTTGTCGTGGAAAGTTCGGCGTGTCCTTCGCAGGTAGTTTGCAAGGGTATGTTTTTCTTAGTAAGATGAGAACAATCACTAAGTGATCGAATCCATTTGAAAATTTAGGGGAGCTCGTTCTCTGAACGCACCGAAGAAGGAGAAAATTACGCTCATAATTAAAAAAAAATTCAGGACCTGGCGTTAAAAACTAGAGGGAAAATACTGAAGAAATATGGTATGTTCCATAAATTGTAAGTGAAAATTATTTTCCATGGTTAATACTTCCATTTGATTTCAAAGATTTAAGTTTATTAATAAAATTAAGTGATTGGGTCAGAGGTGTTACGTATTGTTTCATATATAATTTCCAAATATAATAGAAAAAATATTCATTAAAATATAATAGAAAGAGACAGAAATCGTTTCAAGAAATATATATATTTGAATATTTTTACAGATATCTACATTCTCTTTACATATTTACATATTTACAGTATTTCTCTTTACAGAAAGTTGAGATACACATGTTAGGCACTCAACAACATCTACAATGAACAAATTGCTTAAAACTATAAACTTTCATTACATCTTTGACAATGTGATAGAAGCCACTGCATACATCACAAGTTAGATTCTGCAGCAGCATGTGGATGGAAATAAACACTCTGATAAAAATATAAAATTCTATAACGATATAAACTCTATAACTATTGCAAACAATGATGAATTTTTATTATGGATAGGATTGACATGAGAGATTAGATTTTGATGTCATATGAACAGATTAATATTAGAATATTATTGTCGTAATATTTTAGTATCTGCGCTAGTGACTTATAAATTTGAAAATCATGAAAATGTATTTAATTTCATTTTAGTGAATATTTTTTGCAAATATTTAAAGGGGATCATTGAAATTTTAGAAGAAATCTTTGTTTTATTGTTGTTTCTCTGGCTAACCCGAGGTGTGAGGCTTGCTTGTGTTGCTCGCTCGTTTTGCCGTATATTATCACTGATGAGATGTGCAGGATGCGTATTGTCGATGACCTTGAACGACCCTGGGTTTCGATCATGGATCTAATACTACGTGGCAGTCAAATACTCCACAGCTGCCGCAAGAGAGCTGCTATGTGGTCTGATATTTGATCTACTTCGTGGTGCTAGTGTTTCGATTGATTCTCCGGATCGCTATGTTCTAATCGTTCAGATTTGAACATGTAGTCAGATCAAATCTGAACATTTTATTATGGTCATGAAACAAGAGTTTTGCCAGTCGTTAGCTTATGCCCAGGGGTCATTAGGAGTAACTGTAAACCAGTTCTTTTAACGGTAATTCCTGGATAGAAGGTTTCTTCCTGCCTTTTTTTAAAAAGAATAATAATTAGATAAATAGGTACTTTTCCGTTTTGCCGGCGCAAGCGATAAAGTCGCCAATAATGGTACAACCGATGCCAAACGGAATATTCTCGCTGGTAACCTTTTAAGCCTCATTTTCAAAACAAGTCGCAGCTTTTTCTTATCAGATTGATTGTTTCTTTCAATACTGGCATATCATTACATAGAATTTTTATCAGATAGTTCAGTTTTATGTCTAAGGCCATTTTCGGTAATTAAGTCAATCAGGATGCAATCACAGCGCTTACCCGAAGCCGAAAATATAGAAAAGGTAAAGTCAAGTGGTTAAATTCATCAATTCTAACGAGAATGCATTAGCGAAGAAAAGCACTGCAGTTTTACATAATTTCTGAGTAAGCTATTCGTACGAATTGAAATATTTCTTGCATTTAAACTTGTGTTCCAAATTAAGATTTAACTTGAAATTAATGTAGATAATTACTGAGAGCATTAGATTTTTGTAGAGTAGTTTACGTGAGATGAGATCGCTTAGTGTCACGTGATATAAACCGGCGAATCATGATGTTGAACCATGAAAGCATAGTAAATTCTTAAATTAATGTCTTTTTACAAATTTATTGTCTTTATTTATTGGCTTTTTATAAAATTTTAAGCGATATTAAAATGTTTATGCCTTCGAAAAAGGAATTCTCAGAACTAACATTTTTTTAATATTTTTTATGTGTATACTGTATGTTGTCGCCAATAAAGTCTGCTTGGCGAGATTTGCGCCGGCGAAACGAAAAAGTACCGATAAAATATTCTCATATCTAAAAGGCTGTAAAGTAGTAAAGGTACTGTAAATTGTAAATTTAGGTAATCAGAACATCTACAGTAGTGTATGTGTGTTAATTATGAAGAGAAAACTTTATATAAATTTGTAATTCATTGCTCGGTTTGTAAAAGATATAAAAATAGCAATACTTTACGTTAAGATATATATAAGCCATGTAGAAAAAATATAAATACGTTTTAACCTAATTTGGTAATAATTAATAACCTAATTTGGAAATTTTGTATAAAATTCTAATGAATTTATTTTCACTAGCTCTTGCTTTTTTGAAAATGTTTTCAAAAGGGAAAAAAAAAGTTTAGTGTCAATGCATTTAAAGTTAGGGATTGTTTACAAATCTACGCAAGTAAAACTAATCATCTCTAATCTCTCATATCAATCGTTAGGTATGAAATCAGAATTGCAATGAATGTGTATAATGCATGCAGTTGAAAACAGAATATATTAATTATGTTCTGCTCTTCTCATCAGTCTCTGAACGAAATGCCTGACAATTCGTGGTAAAATATACCGCGATTCATTTTCGCTGGCAGCAGTTTCATAAGTATCGGGAACTGGAATTTGGTGGTGGTGGTGGTCTTCCAAAGACCGCTCTGGTGTCACGAGATTAGAAGCACTCAATAACAGTGCTGTGGGAAGGGTATCTTCCTCCGTCAACAATTCCTCAATGGAAGAAGAAGAAGATTCAGAAGAGGGCGCTGTAGCTAAAATGGCATCCAGATAGCTTTCGGACGCTTGTAGAGCCCGAATTTCTTCATTTAAGGTGGAAGCAAGAGCTTGTGTACGGGCCTGGTGCAACATAGCTGGATTCATAACATATCGAGGACGATGCATCATGGGTAAAGCGTAGTGGTTCATCATAGGGAACCGAGGTAACATCATAGGATGAGGGTAATGACGTGGAGGATGAAAATTGTAGCCACTCAGCAAATTATGACGCAAAGACCGGAACATTGATCCTCCACTTGAATATTCTTCCATCAAAAGCTTAGTTATTAGACCAGCAGCCAAAATCTCTGCAACTTCAGTACTCCCTCCACCTCCACCTCCCATACCAAATATACCAAGGCCAGCTGACGTAGGCTTGCAAATGTTAAGTAGCTGAACAGCTACTAGAAGAATACTTAACTTTCTGATATTCTGGGCCATTATCTTTATTCTGAAAATAAAATTAAAATTTTGAAATTAGCTTTATGCAGAATATAAGACTACCCATAATTAATTAGATTCTGAAAAATACAAAAATTGACATGTTATGCAAGCAAAGCGATTGAAAGTGTTAAAACATTGCAATCGTAAATTATGTAAAACGATTAAAAGTGTTAAAACATTGTAATCATGTACGCTTTTAAATGTAGCAATAGTTCTTTTTCATTACTGGTCTAATAGATTATGTATGCATTTGGAATACTATCTTTCTTAAATTATTTATAGCTTAATGTTATTTCTTTGCTGAAGAGCAAATAATTGTTGTTTTTTTATAGCTTTTATCCCAGGGGTTCTCAGCCAGAGTGGGAGTTCCATAGTTTCGGGAGGAAATGCCGCTATCTTTTTATTTACCTGTTGAGTATCTAGTTTTCGTTTATGAATATAAAGAACTACTTTTTTCAATTTTTAGTACTTATTAACATTTTCTGTATAATTTCTTTTTTGATTTATATAACATGTTAAAAAGTTATATAAATTTAAATAAAAGTATGCGCATTTTTTGAATTTTTGTTAGAAGGGGGGGAATGAATTCCCCAGCAGTTGTGAAAGGAAAGCGTGGGGCACGAAAGGTTGAAAACCACTGTTTTATCAGATGTTGAAAATATTGCTCTGTTTATGATTATGGTTTCTGAAGTAAAACGCACTTCTGGAAGGTAGTTCCATCATTGCATTACATCATTCTATCATCGCACCTTACTTGCATGACTAAAGGATACTGAGGTTATTCATGGTTTATTTAGCGGTCCAACAGAGATAGTGGTTAGTGATTCTGACTGCATACCGAAGAACCCGGTTTCAAATCTGGGAGGAATCTGGATGGATGTTTGTAAATGTGTGGTGTCTATGCTTGCGGTATGGGGGCACTCTAAATATGCGGCGAGCGGAAAGTCCTCTCGAGAGATTGGTGGTAGGGAAAGAGCATGGGGTCTCTCGAAACTTCGGGGCAGAACTGAGCTAAAGTCGGGCTAGGCTTGTACTGACTTTTGTAACACAAGTAAGATTAGTAACAAGTACAACATGATTTATTTAACTTTCACGTTAGAGGTTACATGATATTCAACATGATTTATTTAACTTTCACGTTTAGAGGAAAACATGCTTATTCCCATAGGGGACTATGGTATGGCATTTCCATTATTTAAATTGCCTTTACTATGGAACATTTGCAAAATACCTTCAAAAATATAAATTCGTTGTATTTTCTAGAATGGAAAACTACTCTGCATCCGGGGTCATACTCAGTTCTAGAATTTAATAAGGCGTAGAATTTTAATAGCTTCAAGAAAATCACACCGAACGTATAATTCTTGCCCCAAAATAACTACTGACGTAAACGAAAATTTTTCTGGCCTTCTTAATACAAATCTATGATAAAAATTCTTATTTTCATAATGTATTTTACCTGTTTTATGGTATTCACATGCAATAAAGGAAATATTTTTCCAGAACTTCTATGAACATCATCTTTCTGTTACGAGGTATTTAATACAAAGCACAAATAGCAGATGACAGATATTTAGCTGCAGTTGATGAATTTTTGGTCATACTTTTACATCACGTACATAATTATCAGTTCCGGAAAAAAAAAAAAAATCTGAAATGTTTCAGATTTTAAATTACGTCCAAAGGGGCGTTTTTTAACATTTTGTGTGTTACCTTTCTTTATTAAATATCATGTTCCTCGCACTTAAACCATAAGATCCAGTGCAACAGCAATATCGCAAAATAGTTTTAAAACGAGCATATCTTTAGAATTTCCGATATAGAGACTCACGCGCTGGAGATAAAAATGTTTTTTCTGCACAACGTTGCCATTGCTCGCTTTGAAATCCTTGAGTTTGTTAATCAAAAATTCGTCAAAGTTTTAAAAAATAGGAAATCGATCATAAAACAAATTTCAAATTTCAAATTTGGTCTTCCACATGCTCATATTCGTTGGAGGATTACGTTATTCAAAATTCGATGACTCTATGTACCGTTATTTTATGACAATGTGAGAAATATACATACATTTACGCAGATTTTCATTATTTAATTTCTTCAAATATAATGCAGGACTCTAACATTTTATGGCAACAGTTTGAAAAGTGAACCGACATTTATCCGTCCGACGCAAAATGCCAAAACGAATCTAATAGTCCTTCGGGATTCAAATCCCTTTGGACTAAAAACGAATAATTTGAAAATTTTACCGGTCTTACGTGCTTGCAAGAAAATATTGCCAATTGTATATGCCGCCGCATGCCTCTCGAATGCGGATTTGATATTAAAAATTTGGAAATCATAAGATCCAGGAATTTGGAGCTTTGCATGCGGTTCATAAATTACACGTATCGTGGGCTTTCCTGCATAATTCTCTCTGTCAGCTTTGAACCAGCCTATGTTTTGCTATTTTGAGGTAAGATACATCTTTAGCGGAAACATTCTAAATTTTTTTATTATTATGTTATATTGTGCTACACTATTCTGTCACTCATCATCTATGTGAGGTTGCAAGCGTTTCTATTAAATGTCTGTAAAATTAAGATCTTTAAATATATTCCGCAAAGCCCGTAAATCACTGTTCCCGTTTGATGTAACAGAGAAGCTTTAGTTTTTCTTTCAAACTGTAAAAACTGTAAACTGTAACAAATTGAGCGACTAATGGCAATTAACTAAGCCCCACAAGTGGCCGAACGGATAAACACTACCTCATACTGGGAGTTTGTCGTGAGTTCGAACCCAGGCTAATGGTCTGCTCGCATGTTTGGTTTTTGTGATTTTTTCATGTGTAACTTTCTAACTAACGAAGCAGTTTCCCTCAGAAAGTCCTCCACGAAGACATTCCTCTCGTTAAACAGATAGTTCTTGTGCATTTTTTCATAATCACGTAACCAAGATACTACGTTTTAGATACTTTGTAGAGTTCCTCACTTTGGAATTCTAAGTTAATGTTGGAAGTGAAGAATCTAAGAACTGATAAGCAAATAATCGCTTGAGTTCGGTGACAAGACACAACAAGATAGAAGGGTATCTAACCCTTTATTATTCCAATAAGATTTAACAAAACTCCACCTGGGAGTGTACAAGCAAAGCCCGCACTTGGACTTGAACTTAAAAGACTAAGAATTAAACTAAAACTAAGATTAACTAAAGAAGTATAGCCGAAGCTATCAAGGTTCAAATCGAGTTGGCCCCTTAACTTATTTAACTACGAAGCTTAGCAAGGGCCTGAGTACGGCCGAGCGTAATAACAGCTTTGAGAGAGAGAGAGTGGCCAAAAGGCAGACGCGCGTAAATCAGAAACTGATTCTCTCTGACTTAGTAAGTAATTTTGTGGTTTAAATACCGCTTCTCCTCATTAAAATATTCAGCAAGATTCCAAAACTACGTTCTGGACGGAAGTAGTAAGTTGAAGTTAAGAATTTGACAGGAAAGGAACTTTAACTTAAAATTTAACTGTTAATAAAATTAACATAATCCTTACAACTTAAAGATTCATTTATTTTATTATTATTAATATTATTTTTAATAATGAGTCCACCTGATGCAATTTAAAACCCGTTCAGTTTAGAATAAAATAAATATATTTAAAACGATTATTATGCACATTTATAGCTTCAGAATCTATATACTATTTACCTCAGTAGATAACTATTTAGGGTTTTTCTATAAATTTTTAAGAAGTACGAAGGTGCACGAAATCGCATTTCAAATGGGTGTCAAAGAGTCATTATTTATAAAATACTTTACTAAAGGGCTTTAAGATTTTACTTTGCTTAGATGCGAATAAAAATAAGAAATATAAAATACGTATATATATATATTTATATTCTACACATACCATCTTTGAGATGTCAACGGACATTGCATCTTACAAACCTATGTTTCCAAACCTATATATGTTGCACATTTTAAATAATTGCTAGTACGCGCATTACTGGTACAATTAATTACTGGTAATTAGTTTGTTGGAAGTGCTGTACAGATCTAAGCACTAATCTAAGTCGCCCAGATGACATTTACTTTGAAAGTTTGCGAAGAAACCTTTGGAGAATTTTCATTTTGAATGTCAATAACATTTGTATACAGTCATTGGCAACACAGTCAGCCTGAAGAAATATTATTAATGGGAAATTATCGCCGCATGTTTTCCTCCTCTCAAACAATGAATTCCGAAGAAACGGTTGGTAAATATTAGACAGATGGAAGTGTTGTTGATACTGCTGGATTGCTCAGCGAATAAATATTGGTAAATTATGTAAAATGAGCTGGTAAAATAAGAGTGAATAATAATATAACTGAAAAACTTAAGCGCCTAAAGGTGTTTGCAGTCCCATTTTAGAAGAATTGTTTAAACGATTGAAAGCAATATTAGCGTGAAATAGCAGCATTTAATTTGAATGCCAAAGGCGTCAGTAACACAGTGGGAACTTTCTGAGTTTCTGAAGGCAACAATGTTTCTGAAAGAATTGAGATGCAGTACAGTAGAACTCGGCTTAAGTAGGATTGCATCTCATGTCGAAAACGGTAAAATACAGATAAAAAATTTTTTTTTCTAGGTGAAATTCCTTTTTGTAGGTGCAATGTAAATAAGAGACTTTTACTTTTCTCGTCATCGAATTTTATTTCAGTGGAGTTTACACTATTAGAAAAGTATAACATTATTTCTTCTTTTCATTAAAAAGAAAGCAAAATACATTTAATTCGGTAGCATTTGAGAATTTATGAAACAATTTTTGTATTCTTTTCTTGTACGGAGTAAAGGAAGTAGTGCAATCGCGAAAAATTTCGAGTATTATATTTCAACAAAAATATCCATTTTGACCATTCCCGAATCAATTGAGGCGATATTTTTGCTTGACATCTGTACGTTCGGACAGAATAAAGGACTCTTTTTTTCCAAAACGGATTGCAAAGTGGATTTAAAAGGAGTTTAAAAGGGATTTTTTCGTGACGTCTGTATGTATG